CAGGTTGGGGATTGTGATACCCCCTGCCATGTCTCTGTTACCTAGAATTGCTTTTGCCATTCTGGGTTTCTTGTTCCAAATGAATTTTTTGATTGTTGGATTATTTTCTCAAGGTCCATGAAGTGTGCTTCTGGAATTTCAATTGGGATTGCATTAAATCTATATAGCAGTTTTTGAAGTATGGCCATTTTTACTATGTTGATTCTTCCTACCCAGGAGCAAGGAATGTCTTTCCATTTTCTGACATCCTCTTCAATCTCTCTTTGCGAATTTTTTATCTAGTTGATGTATCTATTTGTAACAGCGGGGTATTGAGGACCCCCACTACTATTTTATTAATGCTTGGTTGATTTTTAAAATCTGTTAATATTTGTTTTATATAGTTGGGCACACTAGTGTTTGGTGCATATATGTTTATGATTGTCATCTCTTCCTCTTGGATTGTTCCCTTTACAAGGATGTAGTGTCCTTCTTTGTCTCCTTAATTAGTGTTGGTTTGAAATCCATTTGATCTGCAAAGAGGATAGCTACTCCTTCTTTTTTGGGGGGTTCCTGTCACATGGAGTATTGTTTCCCACCCTTTAACTTTCAGTCTATGAGTTTCTTTTTGAATCGTGTTCCTTGTATGCAGTATTTTGTTGGATCTTGCTTCTTGACCCATTCTGCCAGTCTATTTCTTTTGATTGGTGAATTGACACCATTAACATTGATGGTTATAACTGATATATATTGAGTTATCATTGTTATGACTTTTTCTTTTTGTTGGATTCTCCCACTTTGTGTTTAATTTCTTGTCATGCCCAATGAATTCATTCTGCTGGGCTTCTGGTGTTGTGATCCTCTTTTTCTTTTCCTAGGGTATTGTCTAAAATTTTTTTGATTGCTGGTTTGGTATTCATGAAGTTCGTAAGGTGCTCTTTGTCATGAAAGTATCTTATTTCTCCACCAGTTTTGAAAGATAGTTTTGCAGGGTACATCAATCTGGGTTGGAGGCTGTTTTCCTTTAGGGCTTGAAATATGTCACTCCAAGCTCTTCTTGTCTTGAGGGTTTGCAATGAGAAATCTGCTGTGATTCTGATGGGCTTTCCTTTGTATGTGGTTTGTTTCTTTTCTCTAACTGCTTGTAGAATTTTGTTCTTCTGTTGAGTTTCTGGAATCTTAACTATTATACGCCTATATGTAGATTTTTTTATGATCACAGCTAGTTGGAGTCCTATATGCCTCGCTTCTGTGTATGTCAAATTCTTTTCCCCTGCTTGGTAAGTTTTTTGTCATCACTTCCATGGACAGTGTTTTTTATGTCACCTGCGCTCTCTCCTGTTTCTTCATTGACTTCAGTCAATCTTATGTAATTCTTCTTTGTGTTGTCTAGTGGCTGCTGGATTGATTTCTCTTGGTCCCTTACAATTTTAAAGCAATTTTTCTTTTCCTGGTCACTAATTGCAATCTTTTCTTCTATATCTGAAATTCTGGTCCTCACATTGGCTCATTCTGCTGTGTAAACTTTCAATGGAGTTTTTATTCTCCTGGAAATCTGTTTGCATCTGTTTTATGGATTCTATTTGTTTCCTATGTTGGGATTCCATCGTGTTCCTCGGCTCCTCTATTTTTATTATCTGTGTCCTCTCTAGATTTATTAATCATATCTTGCACTATGGGCACAATCTCTGCTGTTATGTGAGAAATTATTTCTGATTTCATTTTTTCCAGGTCCTCTTTTGTTGCCATTTCAGGGGTTTCAGGTGGTTGAATATCAGATTGTTCCATCTCCTTTCCCTTTGGGGTTGCTTTAGGTGATCTGGAAGGCTGGTTTTGAGACTTGTTTACTTGTCTTCTCTTTTCATTGGGGAGGTGGTGGATGGATTTGTGCTGCTGATTCCCAGATGGATCACCTCCCGGGCACTGGTGGAGGTCATGCTGTGGCCTAGAAGGTTCACTTCTTCTGAGCTGCGGGCAGCTTTGGTTCTCAGTGCTAGAGGTGGTGGTATGGCAGCCCAGAATGTTCACCTCCCCTGTGCTGGGTGTGGCTGTACTCCTGGGTGCTGGGGGCGGTGGTACAGCAGCCTGGAAAGTTCACCTCCTCTGCCTGTCACTTTTTATTATAAAATCTATATCAAAATACCAACACAAGGAAATTAACAAATTTGAATAAAAAAATTGCTCCCACTCCTTTACATTTTATTTTTTCTATGATTCTGATAATAGCAATTAGACTTTGTAAATAGCAGTCTTTCCTAATATTTCTTTTTTTCCCTAATATTTCTTTTAAAGTATGTTTTAAGTGTTCAAATTTCTGATGTAAAATATGATAATTCAATACATGTGCATAGTGTATAATGAACAAATCAGAGTTTTTAGCATTTCTATCAGTTTAAATATTTAACAAATATTTGATCATGTAATTATTATACATATTTATGGGGTATAATGTAATATTTCAACATATGTATACAATGTGTACTGATCAGATCAATGTTATCAGTGTTTATTAATTTGTATTCATTTTTTCATATACTTGTGGAGAAATTACTGTGTGTGATTTACTTCTATACTTTGTTATACTGGACTTTGGAATAGACTAGTAGAGCACAGCCCAAGAGACAATGGCCTTGCAAAAGTGTAAGGGGAGAGGAATACATAAAGATCTCACTCTGCACAGATGGCCAAATGGGAAACATTTGGTTCTCAAATTGAGGAAATCAGTATTCTAATCCTTTTTTAAACTGTGTCTTATAGAAATTATTAATAGATGTATTTACACAACTTTTGTTACTTATAATATATTTACATTTAAAGAGTCCTTTAAAAATATTTGTATTTTAAGAAGCGTTTTGTAACAGCACATGTTGGTAAAGTAAATGACAATATAAGGGGACTTACTTTGCATAACGACTGTGAAAGTTCAATATATTTAAAGCTTACAATAATCACATTAGTTACATCTCTTTTAATGTTAAGATCTGCCACTTTAATTCATTAGGGGATTGCCTAATTATCAATAGCAGAGTTGGAATTTGAGTCAGG